AATCCAATGGATAAAAATATAAAATTTATTTATTAAGCATAGGAAAACTGTACACAAATTTCCAAACACTTGCAGTAAGAATAGGGGAAAAGCATGTAAGTACATTTTCGCCACATTTTTTAAATGATCCAATTTAAAAAAAAAAAAAAAAAGCAGATGGGTAACAGATTTTTTTTTTTTTTTGTAAATATGATTTTTATTGTTATCAGTGCATGTCATTGAACATATAATCCAAGCATGTAGCATAAACACGGGGACTCGCAGGTCTCAGATAAAAATAGCAAGAAAAAAGTGATGGTTCAATACAGTGTGGGCACGCAGGGCCCTGGTTCAATAAGTAGCATTTTGGCTCACAGGCCTCAATCCTGACTTAGAGGTATAATAGCAGAGGTAGATCACTATGCTTCACAAGTCTCCCAAAGCATTTGGGGCATTGTGTCGCCCATTAGGACTCGCAGGTCTCGGGGTTCTAAGGAGAGTAGTGATTAGCTCACATTTCTTATCTAGGGTCGTGTCATAAGTGTACGACAGTCATAAGCGAGTCAGGCTGTCCCCCCTCTTGTCCTGTGTCCCTACTATGGTGTTGTGTGGTTCCTCTTCGTATGTTATCAAAGAGCCTCGGTCTGTCAGGTAGACTTGGATGTTGTGCCTCGAGTATAAGTACTTAATATTCTCAGATTTAAGCAATTTTGGCCTCCATCCACTTCTGCACGGTCATGTGAGAGTGTTGGCAATAAGACGTGTATTGCAAAGGATCAAATTACAAATAACATGTGAGGTAAACAAGTATACCAAAGGCAACTATGTTCATCAGTCAGATCTTTATACCCCTTAGAGCCACAAGATTACCCCAGTGTCTTGATCCTCTGTTGGTCTGTGTGTGTTTTAGATGTTTGCTTCTTAGAATCGTTGTGCGGACCGAGATTCGTTGATCTTATAGTCTTCCATGTGTGTGTGTTGTCGTGGTCCTCAAAGGACTACGATCTATCTTTTGAACCACTGGACCAATTTGGATGATTTTGACATATGTTTGTATTTGGAGTATGCTGAAAATGTAAGTTTTATGTGAATGTGATGCATACTTTTAAAGTTATGAATAATGTGGAAAAACTGTATTTCTCTGTGATATTTACATTATCCATTGTGTAAGGTAATTGTATAACAGGCAGAGGGGAGGATTTTGTGTGGGAGTGTCTGAGTGTATTGCATGTGTTTATTGGTTGTTTTCCAAAACCCTGTGGGTGGTACTAATGTGTATATAAGAACAATAAACCTACAGCTCTGTCTGTTCCTGCTTGACCCTCAAAACGGAGCCTTGTCTCGTTCTTGGGGGATTTATTGTATGCTGTTCCAGTTTGACTGCTAGGAGTGTAAACCTTTCCTATGGTTTCCTAAATACTTTATTTTCCTATGCATGTTTTCTGCCCTGGTGTTCGGTAGATTCTCGGATTTACTGAATGAACTCATATAACCCAGATAGCTATGCCATGGAGCCTATTCGTGTAATAAAAGACTTTGGCTCCATGGCAATTGAACTGTATGTGTGTGTGTTCTGAGTGCCATTCAGTATTGATGTGCGCTCAGACCTAAGCTATCTGGCATATGTTGCATGTCTGTATTTTATGCCATAAATGTAACCTTGTGTATTTTATTGTATTTTACTGTCTTTTTACTGCTATGTGCTTAATGGAGTTTTGCCTCTGTCCTTGAAGTAAGTGGATTTGTCTTTTTCCATTGTAGTGGTATATAGGATTTCGCTGCATTGAGCATATGTCTCAGAATTGATCTTTTGTATGTGTAAAGAGGTAGTTCCGTATGATGTATCAGGGCGGCTTCCATAGTTAAGTGTAAAGGGTCGTCCAGTTTGTTCTGTATTTGTTGTGCGATGTCCTCCCAGTATGGTTTTATTTTCCTGCAGTCCCACCAAATGTGTCGTAGAGTTCCAATCTCTTCTTCGCATCTCCAGCAGGTATTCGGAACAGTCGGGATAATTCGATGTATTAAGCACGGCGTACGATACCAGTGTGATAATAGTTTATAGTTTATCTCCTGGAAGTCGGAGCTGGTTGAGCTTTTGTGTTGCAGCCAGAGTATTTATTCCCATTGGCCATTCGAGAATGTTCTGGCTGACCATTCTTCCCATTGTCTTTTAAAACAGATCATTCTTCGGTCGGTCCCCTGTGATTAGGCATTGGTATATAGTTGAGACCGTGCCGTCTGCCTCTGGTGTTAGGGAACAAAGTGTTTCATACCAGGTTATGTCTCTGTGCACTCTGGCCCTGTGTAGTAGGTTAAAGTAAAAATGTTTAAGTTGAGCATAGTGGAATTGGTGCATGAGCGTGGGTGGTCTTCTCTCCATGATGTCCCACAGCGTCTTCACTCCTGTATTGTTTAGCACTGTGTGCAAAGGCCATGCATACGGTGGGAGCCCATCACCCAGGTTTGCGAAATAAACCAAGCACAGCTGGCACAATTAAGAAAATTGGCATAACCAAAGGAATTTTAAACTTTAATTTGTTTGTAACGGTACCCCCAGGCATAAAAGGGGTTAATAGCCGTTTAGTAGATCTTCCCTTCCAGAGACACAGGCACAGCTACTGCAGAATACCAATCCGCCGAACAGGAAACCATATGAATGCCGTAAACAGCTGAATAGGAAAAACCATAGGAAAGGTTTACACTCCTAGCAGTCGAACTGGAACAGCATACAATAAATCCCCCCAAGAACGAGACGAGGCTCCGTGTTGAGGGTCAAGCAGGAACAGACAGAGCTGTGGGTTTATTGTTCTTGTATACACATTAGTACCACCCACAGGGTTTTGGAACACAACCAATAAACACATACAATACACGCAAACACTCCCACACAAAATCTTCCCCTCTGCCGGTGATACAATAACCTTACACAATGGGTAATGTAATTATCACAAGCAGAGAAATAAAAATTTTCCACATTATTCATAACTTGAAAAGTATGCATCACATTCACATAAAACTTACATTTTCAGAATCAGCATACTGACCAAATACAAACATATGTCAAAATCATCCAAATTGGTCCAGTGGTTCAAAAGATAGATTGTAGTCCTTTGTGACCAAAGGAAGCATGACTTTTCTGCCCAAAACCAGTTCCACAGAGTCTTCTATCCTGGAGATAATTGGGAACTAATCCAATTATCTCCAAGGATAAAGGGAAAACTCCACTGAACACATGGCAGCAAAAGACAATAAAACACATAAAAACATATAACTGTGCAGCCATTGCACAAAACAGGTACATTCAACATATCCCCAGATAGCTCAGATCTGAGCGCACATTATTACTGAATGGCGCTCAGAGCACACACATACAGTTCAATTGCCATGGAGCCAAAGTCTTTCCCATAGTCTTTCATTATACGAATGGGCTCCATGGCATAGCTATCTGGGGTATCACTGCTCAAACAGGGCAAGCACCAAATGACCCGGCTTTCATGTCTTTGCAGGGGAAAATCAAGCCTTTTAACATGGGGCCATAATCCAAAGGCAACAAGCGAGCAACCAGGCTTCTGGCAATGTGGCGAGATTGGTCTTGTCACATTGTTTAATGTTATATTTTTCTTTTTAGTGTTGCTGTATCTATCCTACAAGGTTTTGGAATCCTTGAACGATTAACTGCTGCCTACACATTTGTGTATTATAGTGAGTTCCTATAACCCTTTTTTATTTGTTCGATTTTTATTGTCTTTAGTTGTAACTGATTATATACATGAAACAGTTTGCTGATTTAGATTGCTAACTCACATTGCTGAATACTGCTGATAGCAATATGTTTTTACTTGGTCTGTGCATTTAACTCCCTATTTAATGATGTATATGTTATAACACACAACATAGTCTTGACAAAGTCTGTTATGGATGAAAAGCATTGACTTTTGCTGTGAACTGATTCTGTACACTAAAGGCAGAACATTTCCTGGGGTACCAGGGGTAGCCGAATCCACTGCAACACCCTGATTTTTTTGTCTACTTACTTCTTCGCAGAATGCAATTAAGTTAATTTGACGTGACCTATGTTTCATAAAACTATGCTGATTTTTGCTAACAATGTTCTTCTCAATGAATTTCTGAATATTATCCCTTAATAACTATTCAAATATTTTCCCAGGCACAGAAGTTAAGCTCACGGGACCTTGCAGGCAAGAATTGTTAACACTTTATGAATATAGGAACCACGTCTGCCTCCTCCAATCCTCTGGTACAATTCCTGAAAGAAAAGAATCTTGAAAGATTAAAAACAGAGATTCACTTATTTCCACACTTAGCTCTTTAAATACTTGTGGGTGAATACCATCAAGCCCTGGAGCTTTTTTTATATTGACTTGCCTTAGTTGGTGCAGCACCTTGTCTTGAGTCATCCAATTTCAATTTCTCTGCAAGTTATTTGCAGCAATCAATTGCATATCTCTAAAAAGGGATATGCAAACAAAAAGTATAACTTGAAAAAAAGGGAGATCTACTAAACGGTGCCCAGGGGATCAATTGTCTGGAGTACTAGCTAGCATCTAAGTTCCAGTTCCCCTAGTGTCCGACTGACAGGAAGGTAGTGTAAACGAGGTTAGGGAGAGAGAAGAGGCACAGGGTCCCCAGAGAACAAGGGACCGGGTAATCAGGTCTAAATGCAAAGCAATGAAAAGCCTCACACAAAAAAAATAAAAAAAAAACAAATCTCTCAATTCACCCTAAAAATTACCTCGACACCGTGGTCTAACCACTAGTGTCTACCTGAACCAACTCTCCCTACTAAAGTTATAAATAAACAAACACCTAAAAATCAATAACCATAGTGGTAATAAAAATTAGAAAGTGCTACCAAGTGCAGAGATTAAAAAAAAAGAAAACGCTCGACGCACGTTTCGGTGTGTTCAAAACGCCATCGTCAGGAGAAAACCCTTTTTTTCAAGTTATACTTTTTGTTTGCATATCCCTTTTTATCCTTAGATAGATTAAAGGCAGGGCCTCCCTTCCTCATTTCTTATACAGTGGAGCTCTCCTGATGTTGGTTTTCCCTTGTGGGACTCTACACATCACCTACTCCTATTACCTAATGAGGATCTAGCATTTAGACTTTATTCTGTGAATCACATTTGCCAAACTGCTTCTGCGATTGCAACTACAATAGAAGTGATAATTGTATTTGAATTTTAAAAAACACCACCACCTCAGGAAAATCTTGTACCAATGCAAATCAAATTGTCACCTAAATAGTAATGAGTCTGTGCCATCATTAACCCTGCCATGGCCAATGCAAGACATACTTACAGGTGCCCTCAGCTACACTTTTTAGGTAAATCTATATATGTTAATGACAAAAATCTCTTAAAAATCTCTATATTTGCAACAGAAAGTCTAGGTCAGATAGCTAAATAGACTAAATAGTAATAGCAAACCTGGCAAACATATTTTGTGCAGTTGTTACGGTAAACTGACGGATTTACATCACTACCACCTACAGTATCTCACAAAAGCAATTACACCCCTCACATTTTTGTAAATATTTTATTATATCTTTTCATGTGACAATACTGAAGAAATTACACTTTGCTTCAATGTAAAGTAGTAAGTGTACAGCCTGTATAACAGTGTAAATTTGCTGTCCCCTCAATATAACTCAACACACAGCCATTAATGTCTAAACCGTTTGCAACAAAAGTGAGTACACCCCTAAGTGGCAATGTCCAAATTGGGCCCAAAGTATCAATATTTTTTGTGGCCACCATTATTTTCCAGCACTGCCTAACCCTCATGGGAATGGAGTTCACCAGAGCTTCACAGGTTGCCACATGAGTCCTCTCCCACTCCTCCATGACAACATCACAGAGCTGGTGGATGTTAGACACCTTGCACTCCCACACCTTCCTTTTGAGAATGCCCCACAGATGCTCAAAAGGGTTTAGGTCTGGAGACATGCTTTACCTTCAGCTTTTTTAGCAAGGCAGTGGTCGTCTTGGAGGTGTGTTTGGGGTGATTATCATGTTGGAATACTGCCCTGCAGTCCAGTCTCTGAATGGGAGGGGATCATGCTCTGCTTCAGTATGTCACAGTACATGTTGGCAACAATTATTTTTTTCAGATCCTCAGAGAGTTCTTTGCCACGAGGTGCCATGTTGAACTTCCAGTGACCAGTATGAGAGACTGTGAGAGCAATAAAACCAAATTTAACACCTGCTCCCCATTCACACCTGAAACCTTGTAACACTAACGAGTCACATGACACTGGGGAGTGAAAATGGCTAATGGGCCCAATTTGGTCATTTCCACTTAGGGGTGTACTCACTTTTGTTGCCAACGGTTTAAGCATTAATGGCTGTGTGTTGAGTTATTTTGAGGGGACAGCAAATTTACACTGTTTTGCAGGCTGTACACTTACTACTTTACACTGTAGCAGAGTGTCATGTCTTCAATGTTGTCACATGAAAAGATATAATAAAATATTTACAAAATGTTAGGGGTGTACTCACTTTTGTGAGATACTGTATGTACCAGAAGGTTTTTATAAGAATGTTACCAGTAGGAAGGTCAATATGGAATAAAAATAAAATTTACCAGTCTAGACAAGATCTCTTTTAAGGTACCCAACTATGCACATTGCCACCAGATGTGAGGGAATGAGCCTAGTGTCTTACCGCATCGCGAACAATCTGGAGATGTCAGAGGATCAATCCGAGATAGTTGTGTAGGGATCAGGTACCAACGTTAAGTTTATACACCCTGTTCCAAATTATTATGCAAATGATATTTTTCTCATTTACCTAAATAATTGATGTAAATAACAGTCAGCATAATTCTCGTTATAAACTATTAAGAGTACAATTAAAATTTTATTGAACAAACCTCCTAATGATAACAGTATTTTTTATAAACATAAAAAACTTACAATGCACTGTTCCAAATTATTACGCACAGTAAGTTTCAAAACGCTTTATAGGTTGTAAAGAACTGAAAATTGTCATTTGTTGTGTTTGCAGCATATTTACTGAAATCAAAAGCTATCAATCAAACGTATAACAACATTTTAACTTTTTAAACATTTTAACAGGTCACGACTCACGTTACATTTTAACATAGGACCCCTTATTTGATAGCAGCTTTACAAGTCTTGCATCCATTGAATTTGTGAGTTATTGGACATTTTATGCTTGAATTTGTTTGCAAGATGTCAGAATAGCCTCCCCGAGCTGCTGTTTGGATGTAAACTGCCTCCCACCCTCAAAGGTTCTCAACAGGATTGAGGTCAGGGGAGGATGAAGGCCACACCATGACTTTATTTTATTTTATCCCCATAGCATCTATTGATGCAGAGGTATTCTTTGCAGCATGAGATGGTGCATTGTCATGCATGAAGATGATTTTATTACGGAAAGCACAGTTCTTCCTTCTGTTCCAGGGAAGAAAGTGGTCAGTGAGAAATTCCACATACTTTGCAGAGGTCATCTTTACACCTTCGGGGGCCCTAAAGGGGCCGACCAGCTCTCTTGCCATGATTCTGGCCCAAAACATGACTCCACCACCACCTTGCTGATGTCGCAGCGTTGTTGGAACAGGGTGGCCATCCACCAACCATCCACTACTCCATCCATCTGGACCATCCAGGGTTGCACGGCACTCATCAGTTAACAGGACTGTTTGAAAATTAGTCTTCATGTATTTTTCTGCCCAATGCAGCCATTTCTGCTTGTGAGCATTGGGTAGTGGTGGCCGAATAAAAGGATTATGCACAGTTGCAAGACTCTAGAGGACTCTACACCTAAATGACCGTGGGACTCCAGAGGCACCAGCAGCCTCAAATATCTGGTTGCTGCTATGTAATGGTATTTTAGCAGCTGCTCTCTTGATCTGATGCATGTAGAAATCATCCTCAATGTGCCTTTATCTGCACAAACCCGTCTGTGCTCTGAATCAGCCACAAATCTCTTAATAGTGCAATGATCACGCTTACGTTTTCGTGAAATATCTAATGTTTTCATACCTCGTCCAAGGCATTGAACTATTTCACTCTTTTCGGCAGCAGAGAGATCCTTTTTCTTTCCCATATTGCATGAAAATGGTGCTCTGCTTAATAATGTGAAACACCCTCCTTTAGTAGTTTTTCCTTAAATTGGGCTCACCTGGCAATCTAATTATCACAGGTGTCCGAGATTGTTTTCAGTGATCAAAAGAGCCCCGAGACACTATGCTATCCATGAGTTAAACTGAAAAACAAAATATTTAATCTTTGTGACACTTAGAATAAATAGAATTTGCATAGTAATTTGGAGCAGGGTGTAATGTCCCTCAAGTATGCTTACACAATGAATAATTATTTTCGCTAAAAGAAGGCCCTACAGCCATTCATCCAGAGAGTAAGAAAATTGGACTTGTTGTTCTCATTTCATCACACACTCTTGCACACTGTCACCCCCTCCCACACATTTTCACCCCTTATTACACACTGTCACAACCTCCCACACATTGTTACTCCACCCACAGACTGTCACCCCCTATCACACACTGCCACTGGCCCCCCCTTCGACACACTCTCAACACTATCACACACTGTCACCCCTAACACACACTGTCAACCCCTATCAAACTCTGTCACCCCAACCCACACATTGTCACTGTCACCCCATCACACACCTTCACGCCCCATTACTCAATGTCACCCCCTCACACACACACAGTCACCCACTATCACTCACTGTCACCCCCTCCCACACACTGTCACCTCCTATCACACACTGTCACTCCCTCCCACATACTGCCACTGTCACCCCCTATTACACACCGTCACTCCGTATCACTCACTGTCACCCCCTTCTACACACAGGGCCGTCTTTAATGTGGGGCAAATGTGGCAGGTGCCCTGAGCCCAATTACTCCTGGAGTGCACAAAGCAGCAACCCAGTGGTCCCGCCGCCGCATCCAGCAAAAAAAAAATGTTTTCCCCATGGGTCCGCTGTGCTGGTATTGCGGCTGAATGCTGGTATTGCGACTGAGTGTGTGTGTCCTGTCTATGTGTGTGTCAGTATGTGTGTGTCAGTACGTCTGCCTGTAGTGTGTCAGTATGTCTGTGTGTGTGTTCTAGTATGTCTGTGTGTCCATCTATCTGTGTGTGTGTCAATATGTCTGTGTGTGTGTCAATCTGCCTGTGCCAGTGTGTCTGTCTGTGTGTGCCAGTATGCCTGTGTGTGTCAGCCACTATGTCTGTCTGTGTGTCGGCATGTCTGTGTTTGACAGTATGTCTGTATGTGTGTGTGTGTATGTGTGTCAGTATGTCTGTGTGTGTGTGTTAGTATGTCTGTCTATTTGTGTGTCAGTATGTCTGTATGTGACATTATTATGTATGTCTGTGTTTTTGTCAGTATGTCTGTGTGTGTGTCAATCTGCCTGTACCAGTATGTCTGTCTGTGTGTGCCAGTATGCCTGTGTGTGTCAGCCACTATGTCTGTCTGTGTGTCGGTATGTCTGTGTGTGACAGTATGTCTGTATGTGTGTGTGTGTGTGTCAGTATGTCTGTGTGTTTGTGTTAGTATGTCTGTCTATTTGTGTGTCAGTATGTCTGTATGTGTCCATATGTCTGTCTGTGGGTGGCAGTATGTTTGTCTGTCTGTGTATGTATGTCTGTTTGTTTGTGTTAGTATGTCTGTGTGTGTCAGCCAGTATGTCTGTCCGTGTGTATGTCAGTATGTCTGTGTGTGTCAGTATGTCTGTGTGTGTGTCAATATGTCTGTGCCAGTATGTCTGCCTGTGTGTGCCAGTATGTCTGTGTGTGTGTGTTTGTGTGTGTGTGTATGTGTGTGTGTGTGTCAGTATGTCTGTCTGTTTGTCTGTGTGTCAGAACGTCTGTCTGTGTGTGCATCAGTATGTCTGTGTGTGTGTGTGTGTGTCAGTATGTCTGTATGTGTGTGTGCCAGTATGTCTGTTGTGTGTGTCAGTATATCTGCCTCTGTGTGCCAGTATGTCTTTGTGTGTGTGCCAGTATGCCTGTGTATGTCTGTCTGTGAGTGTGTCAGTATGCCTGTTTATGTCAGTATGTATGTGTGTGTCACTTTGTCTGTGTGTGTGTGTGTGTCACTTTGTCTGTCTGTGTGTGTGTCAGTATGTCTGTGTGTGCCAGTATGTCTTTGTGTGTGTGCCAGTATGCCTGTGTATGTCTGTCTGTGAGTGTGTGTGTCAGTATGTCTGTGTGTGTCACTTTGTCTGTGTGTGTGT